CCCCAAAACCCCAAAACCCCAAAACCCCTATTAGAAAATATTATATTGAATTATTTTTGGCAATCCAAAAAGTGAAAATGGATTTTTTTGATATCGATGCCGCATTTGAACAATTTGAACAAATGGAGACAAACTCTTACAAAATCATGTCAATGGAACAACTCTTAGAAATTTTTGGTAACCTCTTTCTCTCCCTCACCTCCTCAAATCCTGTGTCTTAAGACTTTAATCCCTCTTAAAATGCTCATTTTTTCCCTTTGATGGCTCCTTATTTGGCTAAATTCCAATCAGGGCTTTTTTTAATTTTCCCATTCCTTCACTTTAAGCTAGATGTACTAACGCTGAAATATAGGGTGCAAACTTGAAGGTAAGTTCTTCGCCCACTTAGCCTACCAATGGCCACTGGAATGCGATAAATTTTTGAATAGGAAAATAAATTTAAAAGGCAAATATTTAAGAACAACCATCAGCAATCAGAAGAGGAATATGAGATTTTGTTTAACTGGGAAGAAGAGACTGGGGACCGAGGAGGCACAACTGTTGGCCTCAGCAAAGATTTGAATAATAATGTGTTTAGGATAAGGACCGCAGAGGATCTGAGGCTGAATTATGCCTTTAAGAATCAGAGAACTCTACAGAAGAATTATAGCCATGCAGACTCTTTGAGAAATATGATGGGTAGTAATGTGCTTAATACTGAACTTACCTATGAACAGCTTAGTCGAGTTATTCAGACTATAAAGCAAGATGCTCCGAATAGAAAACATATCGCATTTTGATTTGCATCTCCTCTTACTAAGCCTAAGTCAGCCATCAGTAAGAATAGGGATTTAGATCAGTTGAAATTTAAAGAGGAGTTTCAGGATATACAAAATTCATTAAAAGAAACTGGGAAAAGTATAAAATTTTTCAAATGAGTGGCTACCTACACCAACTTCGGAGATATGCTTGCTAACAATCCTTACGTGTTACACTTCTCAGGGCATGGCGTCACCACCCATTTCGAGCTGCTAAATAACCAAAAGCCAGAAAATGGCCATAATGGTGATTATTTAATCATTGAGGATGAGTACTGAGGAGGATACGAAATGAACTGTAACATGCTCAAAAGTTTACTTGAGAAGGGTAAGTTTCCTTTAAATTTCTTTAGCGAAGATCAACATCAACGTCGCAGTCGTCTTATCCTGCCACTCACAGTTCATTGGCGAGATGTTCCTCAAAGCAGGTGTTGAGCATGTCATCTGTGTTGGCAGTAAATACAAAGTCCAGGATAATGCCTGCATTAAGTTTGCAAAAGCTTTTTATAAAGGGCTGTTCGACGCTGGGTCAAAAACTGTATGAGAAGCATTCGAGTTAGCCAAAAGTATGGTAAGAATGCAGTTTGGAAGAGACGGAATTCAGAGTAAGGTGTTTTGGGTTATTTTTAGAGGAGGAAAACAAATTCAAATGCCTTCATAAGCATCAGAATGAAAGTGACTGTAGGCCGATTGATATAGTCATTCAGAATGGAAATGTTGTAGACTGATCAAATAAGAGTCAGGTAAAAAGACTCCCTTTTAGAACCAGTGAGATCTTAGGAAGGCATTCTGACTGCTCAAAGATCATTAAATCTCTTCTCTCGCATTCTATTGTTTGGATTGAAGGAAGGAAAGGGATTGGAAAGTCTGCTACTGTTAAAGAAATTTCTCATTTGATATTTGAGAGAGATGTCTTTGAAGATGGAGTAATCTATATGCCGCTAAGAGACTGAGACTTTCTTGAAAACCTAATTGAACAGATGTTTATCTATCTCGCTCAAAGCTTCACTTCTCCAAAGGCTAAGAAAGATCTTGAAACCTTCTCATCTAATGAAGTGAGTGAAAAGTATAACAAGTGTATAACAATGATCTCAAACTTAAAATTATTGATAATTTTTGATGATTGAGATCCTATTATTCATAACGAGTTGGGAGAATTTCAAAAGTTGATTGAGGATTTTGCACAGAGAGTGCAAAATTCCACACTCCTTTTCACCTCCAAAGTAGCTATAGATGGGCTCGAAAGATACAATTATGAAATTATTCGCTTACAGCCTCTTCCTGAAATGAGTATCTTTGATCTCCTTCTGAAGAAAGTGAAGTCTAAAGAAAATTTCAAAAATGAGCTGTTAGAGCTTCAAAATAAGACCCGTAAAGAGTCTCAGAAGACGAATGAGATCAACCTAGAGCACGACATTTTTAGGATTCTGAACGGGAACCCTCTTTCCGCAATTCTAGTGGCAAGTTTATACCAAGGTAGCCTCTTTATAACCTTCTAGATGCCTCAATTAGTGAGATTTATAAGACACTTACCATTTTTAAGAGAGAAGAAAGAACAAGTGCGGATATGGAAGAGACTATCTTCTCTCTAAACCTGAAGAATTCCATGAAATTTGTAAAGAAACTCTCAGCTATCTCATACCAAATCATTCTGGCTTTCGCATTATCCCCCAGTGGGCTTTCAAGGACTGATCTGAGGGGAATGTTCCAGTATCAGGAGAAAGACTTAAAAATTATTCAAGAGAGGGAGTTCAGGTAATCTGTATGCCCTATTATTTAGTCTCTCAAGGAGTAAGAACACCGACCATTCTGAGCCATCATTCTGTATGGAGATGTAATCCTCAATCTCTCACTTTTAGGTCAATAATGGATTCAATCCGGAAATTAGCGGACATAAAAGATTTGGAAAAGATTGATAAGATCATTGTTGAGCATATTGTGAAAGATCTCATGCATCAGATTGGTAATGCTACTACTAGTCCTCAAAGTGAGAAATACTTCATCATCAATTTTGAGGGAAATATCTGGGCAGCATTATCACGAATGAAGAACAAATTTGAGAGAGACCAGCAGACATTGAACCCTCTCTCTAATCTTACTAATAAGGATGGTATCACGTTCAATATGCTTGGGAATGGAGTAATTTTTAAGTTAAATTTTTAGATAATCAAGTACATTCAGAATAAGGATTTGATCTCAAAGGCCAAGAATATGGTATATAGAGCCAAGAAAGGGAACTACATGTCAAAGAAATCTCAGCTAATGGATAAATGCTTCTTTGCTAAGAGCAATAAAATAGATTTTGGTGATTCTTTAACCTCAAATGCACTCTCAGCTAAGAAAGGCAGAGAGGCTAAGAACCGGAACCTTCTCAGAACTTTCGCAAAGAACTTGTTGAATGAAGAAGAACAAGAAGAAGCTAAGAAGTTAGCTGAGAAATATGGATTTAAGGCCGATAATACATCAAAAGTGCTTCATACTAGATCAAAGTTGTTAGAAGTGTCTCAAGAAGAGTCCAAGGATGATTCTCGACAAATTGACAAAGGCTTCAGCCAGTCTGAAAGTAACTTGCTAGCTAAATGATAGGTTCATCCACCTCTGGAGAATTCGAGAGAGATACTGATGAAGTAGTTAATATTTCAAGTGGGCTTAAAGTTGTTATTGAGAATACTCCAACAGAAGAAAATGTAGTAAGCCTATTCTTGAAATTTTAGACTGACACAAAGACGAACCCAAATGATTCTAGCAAAAAGAAGAGCTTCAGTGCTGTTCTTAGAGAAGAGAAAAAGCAAGAAATTAGTGTTTCATCATTCAATATGGGAAAAGAACCAGAGGTAGAAGTTGAAAATAGCTCAGACTCTTCAGACAAAAGTCCTTTTTGACAACAACTTGAAGGTATATTTCTCTTGAATTATTTAGGGTCTCTTCCTCCAAGTCAGTTAGGCACTTTTGTTAAGCCTGTTTACGAACTAGGTTTACATGATAAGCTTGCGATTCTCTTTTCAACCGTTTTATGTAAAAACAATCACTTGGACTCTGCTCTAAAAGTGATAGAGCAATATGCCTTGGATTGATCGATTAACAAATTATCGCATGCAAATGCAGTGAAAATCAAGACAATTTTGATGCTAGAGGACGAAAGCGAGTCCTTTATCAACATCAAAGCTTGCTGAGATTTGGCTCTAAAGAAAGTAAGAAATATAACTAATCTCTAGTTTTCAAGAGTAAAATCAATACTGGGTTGAGCAATTTGCCATCTTCTCCAAATCATCATCCTGACACAAAATATTCGTTCGCCTTATGAAGAGTCTGACGATGGAGAGAACGAGGATCAGGGAATAAAAATTGACAAGAATAACCCAGAAACTACTGGTAAGCTCTATTCTTATTCTTAGACTACCATTACGACAACTTTTATAAAAGAATGTACCAGTTATTGAGGATCAAGAATTCTGGTAAAACTTCTGATTCATACAAGAAAATTGTGCTAAATGTAAAGGACTTTGAGAACCAGACCTCCACCACCCTGTTTGATGTCACAGGGGATGACTGCTTAATCCGCAAGTTTATCCTGACCCCAATCCTCAACACAAAGGATGAAAAGATGAATGAGTTTCAATTAGAGAAAATAGATGACGCAAAGATTACTCAGTTGATTCAAAGACTTAAGCAGAAAGAAATTGAAAGAACTTGTGTTAACAAGATCCAGAAGAAATACTACTCGAAGAAGGTCGAAATACCCCAAAGCCCTCTCTTGATTGAGGAAGGCAAACGTAATGGCTCAGAGAAGATCTATTCAGGAGGGTTCTTGAATTCAGTGTCTTCCACACCAAAAGTGGTTGAAAAAGGTAATTTCGGTGAGATTACCCATAGATTCAAAAACTCGACTGCATAAGTATAGAAGAGAAAGCGACCAGAGGGACAATTATAACTCTGGCACTCATTTATTCCAGATTAAGCACGACAGACTCCAGCAGTTAAAATAGCAATTCTGATATTTTTAAGCAAAGTCCTGTGAGCAAATTTAATGCTAAATGTAAGCTCTAAAATGTTTAAGGTAATAATTGAAATAGATTCTCAGATGAAGATCCCTCAGAGCATCGGAAAGTAAGAGAAATAGGCCTATAAAAGTGCTTGGATATCATAATTCTATTCTAATTCGAATAAGATCCTCACTATTTCTAGAATTGTCCCAATGGGGTACTCTCCATTTGTAAGATCAGACAAAAAGAATTTCAAGTAACTATTTCTTAAACTTGCAGGTCTCCAGGAATGGGAGGGAAAGTGAACAAGACCCAAGCGATTATAGTACCAAGGACAAAATAAGTCTAAAATTACAAAACAAAGATGTAGGAGCAGAGCTCATAGGGCTAATAAAACCACTCATCCTCTTAGAGTAAAGGGTTCGAAGTCCTATGTTAGTCCGATGAGGTAAGCTATCACTTAAATTCAGGAAAAACTCTCCAATATACAAATGCTCTAGGACAAGGGTACCTTTCTTTTGACAGTTTAGTCACCTTTAAATTCTAAAGGATCGTATGATAAGAAGACTTATTTCAGAGAGAATATAGAGTAAATTTTATGCTAAATCAGGGTTTAGGCATCCAGATCACGCATATAACCAAGCTAGGTACTTGCACTCAGAGATATCACAGCTTAATTTTGTTGGTCTCTCGTTTAGGACATTCTGAAGAGACGGTGTTTAAGAGTTTTTAGCTTGGAAATTTTTGGTTTTTTACTTTTTTGTGATAAATCTGAGAGATCCTTTAGTTTCAAAAACTAATAGATCTATTCTCAATATCTTTCAATTTTAGTTTGCTGTAAATTTATAGGAAATTTGAAGATAAGGAGGAAATTTTTCTTTAAATTCTGGATTTTTGTTAATTTTCATGCTTATTACTGTGTAGATATATTTCAGGGGATAAGTATCCTGTCAGAATATGTAAGAGCAGTCAGAAAATGAAGAAAATACCCATGTATTCTTTATACAGTCCACCTATTTCAAAACATAACTACAAATACGACACCATTTTAGAATAAAACCAACTTAAAAATTAGGCTTCATTAAAATATTAAAAAACTATTTAAGCGTGAGATGTTGGGGTTTTGGGGTTTTGGGGTTTTGGGGTTTTGGGG